CCGCTATCCCCGCACGAGGATAGGGCTGTTTCAAGAATTAAATCGAAGACAAAGTTACATAGAAACGGAGAGAGGGCGACCCTCCCTTGACAAGTAAGTTTAGTGAACGAGGGTAAGTCCAAGTAGGACGAATCGCAGTTGTGATACGACTTTGAATGTTTGTTCGTACATCAGCAGCGTCGGAAAGTTAGTCCCGACACACAAAAAGCCACCATCACACNCCATCACACTTAGAGACCGAGTGAATTTTCGCCAACGAGGGAATGAAAGTGAGTGCAATGGAAGCGAATGGATGAGTTGACATTTTTACGTCAACGAATAATGAACCGCTGCCAATGTGGATTCGGAATCAGGAAGTTGGTCAACGGCGATGTCCAAACTATACCAAAACGTACGAAACGGCGGTTGCTGAGATTAGCTTCCAACTTTTACCGAACCAGTACAGTAAGGCCAAAGGGAAAAACCAACGTGAAAACAACAAACAGTAGATGAACACAAACTCAGTACAGGAAGCTGATAAGACACCCACGGCCGACAAAAAACCACATATAAGTGCTTTAGAAGATGCAAAAATGTCCCATAAAGTGACCTGTGGAACATAATAAATTTAGTGAACAGAATACGTTCAACTTGAACATTTGAGGCCTCTCCTTTTGTTGGCACGACTAGTACAGACAACTGAAATACCCTGATTCCAGCCAGAGCATCCATTCCATTAGTTTCCATTAGTATGCAAATAGCTCTCCGCCGGAATTACCGATTTTCAAGCTCTACCAACTTTCACACTTGTCTGAGGACAGACTGTGTGCCAAACAAACCATGGTACAATAATCTTTATAAAAAGAAGAAACGTTCCATGATTGGCTTGTGGGCTGAGTACTGCCAGGTTGCATAGGCCAAGGCAGGTGAATTTTCTTGAGGAATCCCCAACCGGAGCCTTCGGCTAGCCAAAGCCTGACCCGCAAGGCAACGGGGCGGTGTGCGAAAACCGCAGTCCATTGGNGGTGTGCGAAAACCGCAGTCCATTGGGAGCCGGTATCCACTTCATCGGATCATACGCCCTTCGGACGGGGTCAGACGTCCAAGGTGCCCAATACACCTTAATGCCCAATCGAGCCGGTGACCACTGCCACAACCGAAAAGGTGTGGGTGTGGTTCGTACGTCTCCTCTTGGTTGGTTTGGAATCAGGGTTTTTGGCCGACTCCCCTAGGTGAACTGCCAGTGGTCCACCAATCCGGCTATAGCCCCGGATATCGGCTTTTCGTCCTCTCACTTTGGTGGGAAAACACCTCCGCCGCGAGAAGGCAGTGAGTAGGGCTTCCTCAGCAGAGGCTATTTGAGACGCTTGGTCATATGGGGGCATTTCGTGAGGTGCAAGGGCAGGGTGACCAGCCGCAACCCTAGACACCCACCCCCAACCATACTGAGGCCTAAAGTATATAGTTCTTGGGATTGTGGTATACGTTACTCAGCCAAAGTAATTGTTTGGACATTTTTTGATTATTTATTACATACATATGTGTATGATAAACAGCAGATAGGACGGACCCCAAAGCCACGAAGACCTGTTGTTCAGTGATAGAAACCGGTAACCTAAGCCCCGGGACTTGAAGTGGCGAACCACATAAAGCCCCGATAGGTTAGTCGTGGTATTAAATCGGACGACAGCAAGGCTGCCTATCACCAAAGTTGGGTGGTAGAGTTCCAACCTTCGAACAAATGGTTCAAAGTACGCCGGTGATAACGACAAAACCACGGAACCACCAGCACCTCAAGGTATACCGCACACAAAAAAACAAGGAAGAATGTGTGAATAGAGGCAGCACGAAAAACAGACTTACATTTGGTCAGCCGTACCCTCGAAAAACCGACCACAACCACCTAAGAACAAAGTATCTCCGGTGAAAACAGCCGTATCGGATGGATTGCTTCGATCAACAACATAGTAACACACGTGACCGGAAGTGTGGCATGGAGTGGATAAACAGAGTATATCCAAATTGTCTCCGATTTTTAGTTTTTGCTCATGCGCGACGGCATCGGTGATAGCGTCCACGCGTTTGTCACCGCCGTAAACGTTTAATTTTTCGCCATGCAATGAACTCCACTGATGCACCAACTCTGCATTGCCACCTGCATGATCCGAGTGATGGTGTGTAGTGAGAATGGCCGACAGATGAACCCCATTTTCCTTCACGGCATCCAGAATACGTTTTGGGTTTACCGGATCAACTGCAGCGCATTTCTGACAAGTGGATGGATATTATGAACATGCTAAATTTGATGAACTAGATAAAACATGGGCAAGAATGGCATGGTTAGTTGACTTTACTAGTTGAACGCTGGGTAATATACCGTGAATGGGAGAAACAGGTGGCATCTCGGATAACTTATGAGGGGAGAGGATTTATCCTAATGAGAAGGGCTATCCAAACGTGTTGGGTGCTTTAGAGTGCGATACATTTCGTAGCAGCCCACAGTGACAAAGGGGTTCTTCTCAAGGTAGTTTCGCACAGAGAACATGGAGTGGATGAGTTAGCAACCGTATGCATTGGGGATGGTTACAACCGCTAATTCTCGGCCTCAAAGAATTCGGCTAAGTATACAAAGTTTGGCCGGACTAGTTTTCTACACGGTGCCTTAGTTGCAGCTGCCGGTCTTGGCAGGACACCAGTTGAGAGTTCAATGGATTGTGGAGATGAGCAGTGAGGACCTGCATAGAGATCGGAATGAGTTCCGAAGGACCTTGTGATTGGTCGGCTCTGGACAGTAGAGGACAGAGTATGGAATCAAGATCACCGACGTTCTTGGTATCAGTCCTTATCGGGTAACGATGCTTGAAGAGATGAATGTGTACACTGTGTACTGTGTTAACCCATGTTTTCCCCAACGTTAGAAATGGAATTGCTCCCTGTCCACCTTACATACTTGTCAAAATTTGTAAACATTGAGCTTGTCAGTGACCAGTAAAGATCGCTTCCCCATATTTCACTAAACGACATCCATAGTGATGAAACCGTATCTTTCCCCAGTGGCTTAATCTAATAATGAGATGAAATGCAAAAAACTCAACATTTATTTGAATGGAAAATGAATAATTGGACACGAAAAGTACAACACTCACCTTGGTGGTTTTGTCTATCAGAAGATACATATAGTTATCAGATAAAGCATTCAAAGTGATAACCTCCATGGCTCGAAGGAATTTGCTAAAGTGCATCGACCGGGAAAATTTGTTGAAGAGAAATATTATTCAATGCAACAGAACTGAAACTAAAGACAATGTAGAGGGGAGCCTCGCAATAAAACGATTCGCGAATTCTTAAATAGGAAATCACTATTTATTCACCACAAGCCCCCTACTGAGACGGAATCGCATCAACTCTACTACAGAAGCTTGCAGTACTGCAAAACCGTTACGATTTTAAGAAGGAAACTACATAAGGGGGGTGACCGAAAGGCGCCAGGAAACTACAGGCCAGTTAGTCTCACTAGTATCCTCTGCAAAGGACTAGAGACAATAGTTAGAAACGGCATAGGGGAGCATGTTGCGCGTTACAACCTATTATCCCCAACCCAGCATGGGTTCCTCAAAAACAGGTCATGTCTCAGCAACCTGTTGT